CTCAGGAGCGGAAATCAGCCTTCAAACTAATGATTTGACATTTATTGCGGTATGTATCGATATCGACATTTTTGGCCATATCGCCCAGCCCTAGTTTGAAGGGTCTATATTGGTTGGTTGCCGTGACTGGGACAGAGGTATTCTGTGGCGCTTTGAGCGTCTGCTTACAGGGAAAGAGACAGTTAAATACTGTTTAGACTAATATTTCAACACTAATATGAACCACTGAACCACTGTTCTCCCTTTAATAACTCATAGATTACCACAGATAGCTAATTATATGGGTCACAGTAGATTCAGAACCCAAATGAATGTTTTATCTTTTCTACATCTTGAATATTTTAGCCTTCCTACATTATTTTTACCCTTGTCATTACAATGAAGATCATAATAACATAAAGCAATTAGTGTTCGTATGTCAAATTGTGATCATAATCTATTTTCCCAGTATCTTCCCATTTTCCTATTTTGGTCAATCATGTCAACCTTGGATCTGTGTAACTTGATCCATTGTTGTTTTGTAGGAGGGTCTGCTGCCATCTGTTTTCTAATTATGAAAAATTAGCAGCTAAAAGAGTTTTTAACAAGTATGTATCTAGAAATTGGCAGGAATATCAACAAGATACATCACCAGAAACGATTGCTTCACTCTTCACTTTTTAAATGTATATATTTTTATATATGTATATATAAGATCCTCTGAACTTAACGTGTGTTTATCACTTACTTATTAAAGGGGTGTAACAAGTACAGAGAAATTATACATAAGTGAAAATATGAGTATTTTGACCAAATCTAAAGTTAAAAGTGGAAGTCAAAAATATACTTGATTGAAAGTAAAAATGTGTGTCTACACTTAAAGATACTTACATATGGGCATACTTATAGTTTTATATTTTGGTCTTTTAACTGACGTGGACTTTAAACTAGAATATTTTTGCTTTGAATGGCCTTTATTATGTTTATTTAAAACAAATGATTGAACAATCCAGTTTGTCACTACCACAACAATCATAACACCAATGAAACCAAATGTTCCAGTAGTGACAATTTTAGCTCTTTTTTTGAGCAAAACTCAAAACGCTAGCCAGTATATGATTAGAAAACTCAGCTTTGAACAGTTGTAGACACAATATTTTTGTTAAAACAAACAAAAAATGTTTTAACTGAAGAAAATAGCAGTGACAGTGTCAGTAGTGACAGTTCTTAATGTTACACACTGATCTTCAGACTTTGGGACACATTTACTTCAAAACAATGTGTTCTAACTGCTTACCATGTGGCATCGAGGGACAGGGATGCAGGCTCACTTCCTGCTCTAAAATGCAGGGGTGTGGCTAAAATAAGGCTCCGCCTATGGACCTAAACTTTTTGACACAAAAGCATGGGACAGCATTTTTTGAATGTGTTGTTTATTTAAAAATTAAATATACAACAAATTTAAATGTTTTAATTTAACTTTAAAAGAAATAAAAAAGATTAAAAAACCTTAAAAAATGTATTATTTTATTGAATTTAAGAGCCATCTCCTAATAGAAAACACTATAATCCTTGTAAATATCTAAAGTCTGAATAATTCATTGTTTTTTAAATCTCTAACTCTCAGCATTATTAATTAGTATTAAACAAATTAGCACAGTTGTGGGCGGTTTCACTTTATATTGATATGAGTTTGTTTAGATGTTTTAATAATAAATATAAATGCATGGGAACTCAGCTCATTGGTAAGAGAAAAATAGAAAAATAGAATTAGTGCTAAAACATGAATCATTTTATATACAAATTGCAATTTAAAAGAGTGCATCTTTTAAAATCGCAAGACATGCAATTTTTATTATAGGCTACATATCAACAATGTTGTCTTTAAGTTTTGACATTTAACCTAATAACATGAAGCTTGTGAACCTCCTGTAAATAAGTTAGCTCAGGGGTCGCAACTCAAATGTTAACAAGAGCCATTTTGTCCTTTCAAGAAAGATCCAACCACCCTGGGAGCCACAACGTTTTATGTCCATTTTACCATCTGGGCTGTAAATATGTCTCATTATGTGCTGATGTCCTAGTGTAGGATAAAAAATATATACAAAAATGTAGACTTTGCTCTGCTTTAAGCTTTAGCTCAGCTATAGCTGCTTTTCTCGCATCTCTGTCAGGAAACTTTTCCACAAAAGTAAAATAGTTTCTTGTAAAACGTCTCAATGTTCGACTTTTTACAAGGCTGAATTCAGCTTCTCGTTCGCCAGCTTCTTTTTTGAATTTTTCCGTTCCACCTTAAATGGCGCCAGAATGTAACTGCTGCATTTAAGGTGGAACGGGAAAATTCTAACAAGAAGCTGGCGAATGAGCTGAGTTTTGTTTTACTGCAAAGGAGGATTATTTTATTATACCTAAAAATCTAGTTCTGCTGTGGAGCCGCAACAGGGCTGTAAAAGACCACATGTTGTCGACCCCTGTGTTAGATCAATCAGAAGCAACCACCTTCAGCGTTCAAGCCTTAAGCCAGAAATAAGTGAATGTGCTGGTCATCTTGCCAAAAACAGCCCTCATTTTATAGAAAATACAATCTATAAATCACAATTTAAATTGCAGTCACAATATTGGTCTTTAAAATTGCAATTAGATATTATCCATATTGTTCAGTCCTACTTTGAAGGTGTAAATGAAAATATAAAGTATGTTTTTCCTCTTAAGAATGTAATACATTAATCCCCACAATAGCCACTAAGGACTGACTCAGTACAGTCATAGTAAGTTACAACACTCACAGGTCAGTCATATACTTGGGCTCTTAACTGCCCCCTCTTGGCAAACCCCTTTTAAAGGCAAAGGCTCAATGCTGTTCTGAATGGCTGAAGCTTTGATGTGGTTCTCTATAGGGAGCATGCTGTCCTGAATTACTGAGCTCACAGTGGCAGTATGGCTGGATCACCAGCTGCAGACGTTAATTACAGGGTGTGGCGGATGATTTGGGTGCTGATTTAAAGATGGAAGGATGAGGGATAGAAAGAGCAAACAACCTTGGATTACTTTCCTGAGTCTTGCACTCTGTCAGGTAGTCATAACCAGGCTCAAGGGATAGGACAGTTACCAGTTCTAATGATATACTGCAGTAGGGTAGATTGAGGTAATTTGGGACACTTTAAAAAGCTCCTGTTTATTTCAGTGATGCTCTCTAAAGGAGCGAAAGAAAATGGAGAAAATTAAATAGCATAAAATAATGACTTTGTCATTCAGGGTCTGTGTGTTACCTAAAACATTGCCCCATTTAACTTTAACCACCCAGTAAAACCCAGTGATATCATTCAAAAGTTTGAACTCACTGTTTTCAGTAATATAAAGCTCCCTGCAAAATACACACCACAAACACATATATTTACAGAGTTATAGTCCAAACAGTAAACAGTAAGGCTACGTAGTAAAGAAATATGACATGCTCATTAAAAAGCTGTATGTAATATGTCTGGTAAAATGATTCTTGTGAATTTTAGTGCTGTTTAAACATTTTCTGTATATTTTTGCAATGCTGTGGCAGTACCAAAAAAAAGCTGATAATTTTGGTTTACATATATTGTGATAGGAATTTTCATGCATTCTAGAGGAGGAAACAATCATTTTTGCCCTTAATGATTGACATTCAGGGACATTTTCTGTACAAATAAGGACATTTTACAAAATACACAAAATACTGAATGTACAGTGTTAACTGAATTAAAATATGTAATGTTAAATGGTCAGCTGCACAGTTTTTAAAGACTTTATTGTATGTAGACTTGTTGGACAGCCCTCATCTCAGTATTCTAAAATAGCTTCCCTCTGAGCAGGAACATGTGTAAGAAATAAGCTTACCAGCTGCTCTGAAAGACGATATTTAACCTAAGCCCTGATTATAGACCACCTTTTTGTACATTAATCCTTACCGTAACCACTAAGTACAGATGAAGCTGCAGACGAGGCATTAGATGAGTCAGTGTCCTTGATTCCTGAGTGCCCTCTTGTGGTTACTCAGTGGTGTTGGACTTAATGTTGATCCTAGTATGGGCTCTCCTAGTTTTAAAAAGAGCATGTCTGTTGTATCAGATAATATTGAAAACTGGCTTGCATCTTTCTTGGAAAGCTTGAAATCGTATAACAATAAGTGCAGCACTACATGTTTTCATAGACTAAATGCTTTTTATGTAATCCTTTTATTATTAATTAGTCATAGTGATGTGTAGAATCCTTCATTTTAAAAGTCACCTACCCAAACCTAAAGGGGAATTCCAGTAATTATTCAAAATTATTGCGTAATTCAGTGGTTAAGATGTAAACAAAGTTAAAGTTATTCCAAGTGGTTTGAAATGGTTTCTTTGTAGAGACATTTATCGACTTGTTGATTTCCTTACAGCAGTGGTGATAAAAACAGCACAGATGTAGCCACTTTATTTACATTCCAAAATGGCCAGTGAACCCTGCACATGTCTTTTTTACACAAAATATTAATTACTGTTTTGCCTTACAATGAACGCCGTCCAGCATGAGTGGCTTATAGTATGTTTTAGGATGGAAAACAGTCTGAAAGCTGATCTCAAAACTATAAAAAAACAATGCTTGAGGATGTAGGCAAGATATTTTATGTAAAAGCTTTCTGTGTGGTAGTTTTTAGTTGTATTAAATGCTTCAGATATATAGTTTCTATCACCACCACTGTAAACAATTCTAACTGGGCAAGTTTTTCTAGAATGCAACATTTCACGTCAAACCACTCTGACTGACTTTGTGTATCTTAATGATTTCAAAACCTTTGAAAATTATGCTGAATTCTACTTCAATAAAATATATCATATAAATTAAGCACTGCAAGCATTTTGAGAATTGCTGCATGGGATCATAGGCTACATCTCAGGCCAGTGACATAAGGTTTACAAAATCTTAATAAAATACTACAGAGGTTTTCATTTTCAGTGCACTTTATCTACATTTCTGTCATCTGACTGTACTTCTCTCTTACTTTCTCATCCCAGAGGACAAAAACAGCTGTATAGAGGAAGGTGTGACGTATTTGGACAACGACATCTGGAAGCCGGAGCCATGCAGACTGTGTGTGTGTGATAAGGGCCGGGTCATCTGTGAGGAGATCCGCTGTGAGGAGCTGATGGGCTGTGAGCAGCTCACCATTCCAGAGGGAGAGTGCTGCCCCGTGTGTGAGAAATTCGCCAGTGCTCGGGGACGCATTGGTGAGCGACACTCAAGGTGCCCCCTAGAGGGCAGCATTGAGTTAAGTTTTAAATCCTCCCAGAAAGCAACTTTACCCTATATCACTAGTCTCCAAACCTGGTCCTGGAGAGCTACCTTACTGCAGAGCCCAGTTTGAACCACAAATTTCCGAACCTGATCCACTTAATCGACCCCACACCTAGTTCTAACCCTAACCAGTCAGACCCTGCAAATAACCAGTCCCTGTGGCGTGGCTGCCAGACCCTGCTTGAGAGTTTAGTCTCAGCACTTATCTAAAACAATAAATCCGGTTAACACCTTAATCTTCAAAGGTATTCATATCTATTCCAGCACGTCAGTTCCTCATTGCACCCATCAACAGAAAATGCTGGATCGGATATTATATTTAAAAAAAAAAGAGAGTCACTCCTGTAAGTCTAGCCTAAAATAGCACTGTATTTCTCCCAGTGGGGTAGGAATCATCTGCCTCGATCCAGAAAGCATGCACAATTGTAGTGTCTGTGTTGTCACTTCACTTTACTTCCCTCTGCACTACAAAAAAATGTTTTAATTTTAAGTTTTAAGTTTGAGTTTTAATTTTAAAAAGTTAATGTCTGGGCTGCCTTAAAATTTTTAGTTTTTGAAGTTGACATGGCACGAAACAGATTTTTGTTCTGTTCGAAATTGAATTAACCCAAATTTTTTGATATCACCAATATTATAAAATTTTTTTTACAGTGTGGGTGTAGCCATTAAGGTACAGAAGAGCTTGTTTAGCAAAAGCCTTGTTCCCTCTGCCATCCAGTCTAGATACTCTTTACCCACTGTACAGTATTACAATATAAATAACCTCTTTTAATATTGTTTTAATGTCAAAGTTGTAACGTTGCTTGCAAACACTGGAAGTCACCCAAATCCTTTCTGTAAATACATCCCCAAAACGTCTGTCAGTCAAGGTCACACAGACTTATTTATGCGTTTAGGACACTGCACGACTTACTGTGAATTATAAAAAGGAACAGGAATTTACTGTATAGCGGAACACTGTGGACAGCCATTTTAGACAGCAGGTGTTGTGCTGGATTTTGACTCTTTGTGTGCACACACACACCACAAGGCATATGGGCACTAGATTACATTTGTGATTCTGTTGTTCTATTTACAAATAATTACTTGTCTTGAATTTAAAACTTTCAAACATGTCTTGGCTGGTTAATTACATCTGGAGTAAATGGAAAATTGTGTAAATTTTATTTTTCACAGAACTGTTGCTTTAAGTGAAATGCTTAGAAAAGAAAACGTGGTATTGTGCTATCTGTACTAGTTAAAAATCAATTCATATTAATTAATTAATAATAAGTCTGAAGAATAATAATTCCATAAGAAGGCTGCAGGTTAAGGGGTTCAAGAATGCTCAAGAATGTTCTAGATTCTAGATTGTAGATAAATCTAGACTCTAGATTTATAACTCTCCAAGAATGGTCTGCCCTACACAATCCCCAGCTTTAACCAGCTATTTCCTGAGGAATGACACAATAATCAGACCATCTTTTGCAACATCTGCTGTAGTGACTTGTTTTATTTCACTCATTGATGGAATATATGTGTCTTATTTTTCTAAACTTTCCATTTGCTTTTTTTTTTTCAGAGATACTAGCGTTCAAGGTATGTGAATTCCAAAATCTTGTTTTTTATGTATGCTATTGTTAATGCTACATGTTACCTTTAGCTGAAAATTACTCTTTTGATATTTATTTTAAGGGTCAAAAGGGAGAACCAGGTGATATTCCTTATGTGAGTATGAGGAGAATAATTAAATTCTGTAAGAAGAATAGATGGTAAATTGGCTGTAGCTCTCCAAGTGCTGCACATTTTAACTCTATCTATGTTATTTTTCAGATTGTGGGTGTTCCTGGTCGACCTGGACCAATGGTGAGAACATTTCAGGCCCTTCACTTGTTTCATTTAACATTTGCTATTTTTCTGTAATAATCTGTATGGAAAACTTCTCTTAAATGTTTTCCCCTATTAAATGCCAGTTTTCTCTTTCATATTTTGTCAAATAGGGCCCCCCAGGGCCAGAAGGACGTCTGGGCTATCAAGGCATTAAAGGAAGAAAAGTATGTACTGAGATCATCATTTTATCCTTTACACACTGCTTTTAGATCACTGATTCACTTATATGAATATTAAAGTTAATGCTTTAATAACATATGAACATGATAAATTATTAACAGCATTTTCCTATTTTGCCCCTTTAAATCATCAAGTAATTGTGCAGGTCGCGCACTGTATGTTGCTATGTTAGCAAGGTGGAAGCTCTAGTTCCCCTCGAACTTATGCTATCACATAAATCTAAGAGATGTATGAATGAGAGCGAGAAGCTAAGGTGAAGGAGTTGGAAGCTGGAACAACTGACAGTGTGTATATGTATACATATATATACTAATTGTTTGAAATGTGCAGACATTGTTGCTCTCAATGGATGTTGGTGATGAAAATTGGAAACTGGAAACAGTTGCACTGTTGCACTGACACTCTTCTCTCCTATTAAGGGTGTGGCAGGTCCTCCTGGTTTTGATGGGGAACCAGGTATACCAGGAAAACCAGGTGAATCTGGTCCCGCAGGACAGGCTTTATTGCCAGGGGTGAGTGTTTTACCTCTTTGTAATGGATAATTTAATTTTTATCATCAGTATCAACATTTTTGTTTTTATAGTGCCTTTCCCATCATGACAAACATAGAACACAAACACATAAAACCTAAGCCAATTCATTTTCATTTCCATTTAAAAGTTTAGAATCACTTTTATATTAATATTAAAGTTTTGTTCATTTAGAAAAAATAATATATATACATTATAAACTAGTGACCAGAAGGTATCTTTAGATACTGTATTCAATAGTTCAAGTATTTAGGGAACAACAAAAATGTACTGAATGATAAATAATGTACTGTAATTGTCCATTTACATTCATTATTGTTAGGTTTTCTGACTCAAGATTTGATTGTCACTTCTGAAATATGAGACATTCTGGATATCAAGTTAATGTTAACTTCATTCTTGATGATGTGCAGTTTTCTGAGTCCTTTCATGTCATCATATACAGCTCATTACCACAATTTATTATTCTGTTTACATCTCATACAGCTTCATAGTTTCCTACTAATTATTTGAAACTGTGATGTTGCACAGGTCTCGCATATTAGAATCGTCTTATATATTTTCCTGTTTTGTTTTACTGAAAACATTGTTTCCAAACGCTACTGTAGCAAACAACACAGTCACAGAGAAGTGGCAGCTGAATGTGCTTAGCATTCTCTCAGCTGAAATAGAATTTGTGAATAAGTACAAATAAATCAAAAAGATTGCAGGAAGTGGTATTATAAATAAGCTGTAGCCATAGTGTAGGGTATTCTCTTATTGCCTACAGACACTGTGAATACAAGGCCCTTCATATTTTGTTCAGCTAAAAAACAAGTGAGGCTGTGAAACTTGCAGTGTTATTCTGAAATATGCCAAGAGCCTCCCTTTCACACCATATTAAACGTGTCTAAATCACTTGGTAAATGACTGCGGGCGGCAGTTTGTGTTGGTTTGTTTTATATAGTCTTGGTTTGGAACATAGCATGGAGTTATCATCTGGCAGGGACAATTAGAAAAGTGCAGCAGAACTGCCACAGGAAGTGGCACACAACTTAAATGTCAGAGTCCTGAATATGTTGTTTAAATATCGCTGCTGTTGGAAGAAAACCTCACCATCTCCATTTTTATAATTTTTCAGTTTTAACATAGCCTGTTGCCCTTTACATTGTATGTAAATTTCATGAAGAATGGACCAAAAGAAACTGCCCAAAATGACTTAGAAAAAACTCTGGTTCCATTGTCTTACATTAAAAGTAAAGTAGGTTTTTTTCCTTCTCCTGTAAAGTTACCATTTTAGAGATACAAGGTTTCTTCTGACAACATACATACATACATCATCTAAACCGCTTATCCTTCTGGGTCGCGGTGGGGTGCTGGAGCCTATCCCAGCTGTCATTGGGCGGAAGGCAGGATCTTCTGACAACAGCAATACGCAATTTATTTAAAGGATCCGGTTTGTCAGCATATAGCAAGTAATGCCAAGATAAAAGTGACTGTATTGCAACTGAATGGTAGAAAATCCAGTGTATTATTTTGCAGGGTCAGTTTCCCTCTCAGATGGCCTCAGGATTCCATGATAGCAAGTTGGGGATGGCAGGATTAGTCTCAGGATCTCCGGTAAGATGGGTGTGGCTATAATCAGTAAAGATGATAATAATTTTACGTTGAATAATGATAGTAATTCGATTATTGTAATCAGACATTGTTTTGTTTGGACATATCAAATTTAGCTTGGTGATTAATTGTCACTCAGGCCTGAAAAGCCATTCAAGGATTATTTATCTCTTCATTTCTTAATTATTAGGGTGAACCAGGACCAAGAGGACATCCAGGACCAGCAGGTCCACCAGTAAGTCCAAGATCTATCAGTAACCTAGATCTCAAGACCTCTCTTGGAGTTTATATTATATCTAGACAGCTGGCAGTGCACCAAAGTTTTCTGTTCCCTGTGTGTCTCGCAGGGCCCTACTGGAGCACAGGGAGCCCCAGGAGATGCGGGTGATCCTGGATCTATGGTAGGAGATTAAGATAGCTGATATCTAGCACACCTGCTGACCAGTTTGAACGTCGGTACTTTGTACTTCAGTTGAATAAGTAAATGAATGTACAAGATCACTTAAAAGGTATAGAGGTTGCATTTAAAGAAAATTATGACTATATTAAGGAACTTATTTTTCTTAACAGGGTTCTCATGGTCCAAGGGGCCCAGACGGTCCTTCTGGAAAGCCTGGTCTGGATGTAAGTAGAATAAACTGAAGTAGAAGTTTCTTTAAAGGGCTATATGTACATAATGTGACACTTTTAATTGATGATGATTTGGAATTCTTTTACTGAAATTACAACTTTATAGTAGGTTTAATATTCACAAAGGATTTTTTATACAAAACAGTTTTATTTTAGTAGCTACGTTATGCACATTCAGAACACTGGCATTACAAATTTTATGTTTTATTTTTCCAACAATAGTCCCACAACTTTCCCTTTTACAGATATTTATATAATTTTGTTAACAAAATTTTACCCAGTACTCAATTAATTAATATGCCTGGATCAGGGGTTTCCAATCTTATGTGCAAAGGGCTGGTGTGGCTGCAGGTCTTCGTTGCAACAAAGCACCAGCTCACATAATCGGTGGTTTAAGGACTAAAGTAGTGGAATCACGTGTTCTCTTCTTGTTTGGAACAAAAACTTGCACCCGCATCTGCATCTGCCCTTTGCAGATACTTGACACCCCTGTCCTAGATGTACATTTCTAGATAGGATTCCAAATGTGTGAAAAGTCAGATCATATCCTCTTTAGGGAACAATCTTAGTATTGTCGTTATTTTTCTGTTTTTTTCTGAGTTCCTGATGTGTAAATGATTTAAATCCTATCTACAACTAAAAATAGTACAAAGACAACATATCAAATTTTGAAACTGAGAATTTTTTAATAAAAAACATTTTTTTGTAAAGAATATGTTATTTTTTTTAAACATGTGCCCATTTTGAATTTGATGCCATGTTTCAAAAAAGTTGGGCCAGTGGCAGCAAAAGACTGGTAAAGTTTTGTAATGCACCTGTAAAAAACACCTGGTGGAACATCTCACAGCTAATTAGGTTAACTGGCAACAGGTCAGTAACATGATTGGGTATTAAAAGAGCATCTCAGAGAGGCTGAGTCTGTCAGAAGTAAAGTTGGGGAGGCGTTCATCACTCTGTGAAAGACTGTGCAACAATATAAGAATACTGATTCTCAATGTAAAAAAACAAAGAACTTGGGGATTTCATCATCATTAAAAGATTCAGAGAATCCAGAGAAATCTCTGTATGCAAGTGACAAGACTGAAAAACGATACTGGCTGGTCGTAAAAAAAAGACATGATTCTGTAGTGACATGATTGCAAAAGACATGATTCTGTCTTTTGCAATCATGTCACTACAGAATCATGTCACTGCATGGGCTCAGGAACACTTCTGAAAACCACTGTCAGTGAATACAGTTTGTCGCTGCATCCACAAATGCAAGGTAAAACTCTAAAACACAAAGAACAAACCTGCACATATATGAAAGCACCATTAATACTGAACTAAATATACAAGTTTTGGAGCAACATATGCTGCCATACAGATGTCTTTTTCAGGGATGGCCTTGCTTAGTGCTGGGCGATATAACCTTAAATCAGTCTCACGATTAATTGAACATTTTACCTTGATTACAATTAATGAACAGTTATTTCTTTGTTTTTTTAATTGTTTGTTTTTTGCCCGCATAGTTCACTGACAAGATTTGTACTGTAAACATGCTCAACTATTAAAGCCGGGTCATTTTTTGTAATGAAAGAGTGCATATCTTTGTGATTTTAAAATAATTGAAGGAAACACACACAGATACACTGTTTATGGTTATTTATTAAATATTTTGAACAATTAAAATCAAAGTGTACTTGAAATGAAAACGTCTTATGAAAAAAGGTTAGTTTTAATGTAAAAAAGCAAGTTCCCTAAAAAAGTAAAAAATAAATTGCATTTCTTGCAAACAAAGTAAATTATTTGAAATATTGCCATGTAGAAAAAAGAAGATAACTTGTATCTCTTGCAAATAAATAATGCGATGTGAAAAGTAGAAATGTAGTGCAAAGTAAGGCTCAAGTATGGGTCCATCGTCCTACTTGACCGGAGGTCAGATGTGGCTCCAAGGTGTTGAACAGATTTCAGTTCAGCAGCTACTTTTTTGTAAAATGTTTTGTCCATGTTGGGCACCGCAGTTTGGGAAAAATATTTTTGCAATGGCACAGTGTTTCTTCTGTCGAGGATGCACTGTTCATATTCAGTAACGTGATTTTGCCCCAAATGTTGAAACAGATAGATGGTATTACCTTTGGTTGCTGAAACTGTTTTTCCGCAGTGTTTACAGTTTACTTCTTTTTGTTCTGTGTCTTCTTCACTAAAGCCAAAATGTGTCCAAATGACAGACATGGCATTTTTCTTTGGTACAAGCTGCTCAGATGGCTCTGTGTTTGAGATCTCCTCCATATTGCTTCCATGTCGCAGACTGAATGGGTGGGAGTCACATGACTGCACATGCTATGTAGGACAGTACATGAACACACACAGTGGGAAAAGGACTAACAGAATAAAGAAAATGTAAAAAAAAAATAATAATGACATGGGCGAGATTACGTCAGTTAGAGGTCCTGAATGACCCAGCCCTAGCCTTGCTTATTTCAGCAAGAAAATACCAAACCACATTTTTACACATATTACAATAGCATGGCTCCGTAGTAAAAGAGTCTGGGTGCTAAACTGGCCTGCCTGCAGTCCAGACCTGTCACCCACTGAAAACATTTGGAGCATTATGAAATGAGGAGTACGATGAAGGAGACCCTGAACTGTTGAGCAGCTAAAATCCTGTATAAGGTAAGAACTGGAAAACAGGTCTCCGCAGTTTCCAAACTCTTACAGAGAGTTGCTAAACGAAGAAGTGATGCAATACAGTGGTAAACATGCTTCTGTCCCAACTTTTTTGGAACGTGCTACTGGCATAAAATTCAAAATGGTCCACAGGTCCATACACATCCATACCTCTCCATAACACTGACATGAGACTCTTCCTTTTGTGTCAGGGTGAACCTGGACCTTCAGGAAAGGTTGGAGAAGTTGGATTTCCAGGCTCTCCTGTAAGTTAATCCCTTTATTCCATTATATTCAGAAGGCAGAGCTTAGTGCATTTGTGTGTGAAAGCTCAGAACTGTTCCTAACAGTATGATTTTTTGTTTTAAGGGTCCCAGAGGATTTCCAGGATTACCAGGTCAACCAGGAATGAAAGGCAGCAGGGTGAGCTATAGGCATTCTTGACTTTAACCCATAGCTTTTGACCTGGTCCCAGTTATGCTTAAAAAGACTTATAACTTTTGGTTTGTTATGGTATTCAGGTGTTAATATGTAATAACATATTTTATGTTACACAATAATTTACATTTACATGTGATTTACATTGGGTATCAACAGGTTCAAGTCTTCTGGCTTTTTCCTTTTGTTTCAATGTCAGGAAATAAAAAAAATCATGTTAAGGATGTTTTTTCTTTCTACAAAACAGAACTGTTCACACAACAATATATATGCAACAAATTGAAAGCCAAATAAAATATCCCCTCTTACATTTATCTGAACGCAAACAGGGCAACATACTTTCTCTGCTTGTTTCATTGAGCTATGATTGAGAATGAATTAGTATAAAATTGCATGTTCTTGTTATTGCTGGCAATAACTGTGACTTCGAACAGTAATTGTTGGTTTTTAAAATTCAGAGATTTTTAAACCTGAGCTGTGCTGCTTTTCAGGGTGAATGGTTAATTACTGTAACCACATATTGAACTAAATGCTTGTTTGACTGAATCCTTTGACTGAATCAGTAATGCTGGTGCAGACGTTTTGAAAACTTTGGATCTTTTCATAATTTCAGGGACACCCTGGCTCAACGGGCCCAAAAGGAGAGCCAGGTGCTGTTGGGTCGAAGGTCAGATATCTACTGCTTATTCTTAATACCTGGTTTAATGCACATGATGCTGTATCCTTATGTACTCTCTTTTGTAAGCTCTGCTTAAGTGTGTCTGTGTCATTTCAGGGTGGATCAGGTGTGCCTGGGTCAATGGGGCTTGTTGGTGAACGGGTAAATAACATAATAACTTATAATATGGTTTTGATTGGTATAAATGGATTCTAAAGGGAAATTGTATACAAAATGATATTGTTATTGTGCAGTATAATTGAAGTACTATTGCCCTGTAAAATTTGAACTGTTTCTCATGTTCAGTAATTATATTACACTTTTACAGGGTCCACCTGGGATGCCTGGAGAGAGGGGTCGGATCGGCCCTACTGGACCTGTGGTAAGATAACATATTTGATGTATGGTATATTATTGGTCTTTGTTTGGAAGTTTAATAAACTCAAGATTCTGTATGTTTTCATTGTAGGGAAGACGCGGAATTGCAGGAAATGTTGGGAAACCAGGTCCATTGGTACGTAAATTGCTTCTTCGCTTCTATCTCTTACACAAGAATCACATATTAAAGACAATGCAACAGTTATGATTTGTCCTCAGTTAGTTGTTTTGTACACATTACAGGGCCCCATCGGAATCACAGGAGCTCCAGGTTTTCCAGGAGGCCCAGGAGCGAAGGTTAGCATGATCACATTCGTTTCTGGAAATTCTAATAATTGGTCATTTTATTATTATTTTTTGGAGCAAAATTACTATGACTTCTACTGTGATCTTGATGGGCAAGATTTGGTCAGATTTAGTCACTGCTTCTCAAACATGAGGCATTCTGGATATTCTTTTTATTAAAAGTAAATTCTGGTGCTATACAATTTCCTCAGTTATTATGGATAATCCACTGTTCTGCTCATCATTGAAATTTTCTACATTTTCACATCTTTTTTTATAAATTATGTTAAACCTATAGAATATTGACATCATATTAGAATCAAACAAATGTCAATGTTGAGGTGTGCTCTTGTTTACTGTAATAATACAGGGTCAGGCAGGAGCAACAGGCCCCCGAGGCACCAGTGGGCCACAGGGCCCCAGAGGAGAAGCAGGACGTCAAGGCTTGCCTGGAGCTCGAGGCAACCAGGTTTGCCTTGTCTCAGCTGTTCTTAAACGTTTTCATAAGTGTGTTCTGATTTATTGATTAATATGATATGCTGTCATTTCCAGGGACCAGCAGGTACGGATGGTGCTCCTGGACCCAAAGGGCCATCAGTAAGTTCTCACCTCTCATTCAGCAAAGCTGCCCTTCTCATCACTGTAAACTGTAAAGTTATGTTCGTAAAGTTCGTAGTCATGTTCCATTTGTGACTAATTTCTGTGATATCTCCTATAGGGGATACCCGGCGTGCAGGGTCCAGTCGGACTGATCGGTCAGCCTGGCCCACCTGGACAACAGGGAACTACTGGACCTGTTGGGATCAAAGGTCAAGTGGTAATGACATGTTTTATATTTTCCTTACTTTTTTGAAATAAAAGAATTCTAAAAGTTTCTATGTTAAATGGTTCTGTTTGTTATGTGGAAACTGAGCTTCAGACAGCCCATTTTGAATTCATCACAACCACAATAGTTTAATAAACATACACATTTTAAGTCACGCTTTTTGTTTTTTTGCATATGTTTATGATTGTTGGCTTTGTTTTTCTGAAGACTTATTACTGTAAATTAATTGCAAGGCACACTTCTATCGTATATCACATAAGATAATACAGATATCTGTATTTGTGTGTTCATAGGGTGACGTGGGCTCCCCTGGGTTCAAAGGAGAGCCTGGACTAAAAGGAGAATCTGTGAGTTGTATTAAAAAAAAATCCTTTCTGAACTTTTGTTAAAGCCAATTATTCACCCCGATGTGCGAGATACTATTAAGAGTTAAAGTAAATGGATGCTAATCTAGATCAATAGCAGATCAACTGCAGTAACTGATTCAATTGGTACTTGCTTAATTAGTTTGATGGTTTAATAAAGCTTGTCTATTTCACAGGGATCACCTGGGGCTCAAGGAGAGATGGGTCCTATGGGAGAGGAAGGGAAACGGGGTCCGAGAGGAGATACAGGAGCTTTGGGGCCACCTGGACCTGCTGGAGAGAGAGTGAGGGCAATAATCAGCTGATTTACCATGAACAACTACAGTATTGTTACCAAAGTTCTCTGTGAATCATTACAAATTACAAATAATTGCATCCTGTTGTGTGTTGGATTTGTAACTTGCTATTTAGAATATGGTTCAATGTAAACAGCTTATTGTGTTCAATTTACATGAATCAGTTGAATTGTGAAAACCTCTAAAAGTAATGAATGGAGTGGTGATGTAAAAAATTAAATATCTTTAATAATATGATTGAAAGGATGACATGCTTACATTTAAAATGAAGTACTTTTAAGATTATGTTATTACTGTGGTGCACTGCAAATTATAGTTGATTACATTTGTAGTATGTTGGACGTTGTCAGTTGTTACTTGAAATTGCCAATGTAAATAGTTTATTGTGTTAAATCTACATATTTTGGCTCATCTATTCAGGGTGCTCCAGGTAATCGTGGCTTCCCAGGTGCTGATGGGCTACCTGGACCTAAGGTAGGCAAAGTTCCAGTTCCAATATGTCGCACCCCACTAATCACCTTCATCTTCACTCCATTACAGTTTATTTCACATAATAAGACCAAGGTGACCTCTGTTTTTGGGTTGCTCCCTAATTGTCTGTTACTGTATTATCACCAGGGTGCACAAGGTGAACGTGGCCTTTCAGGCTCTTCAGGGCCTAAAGGTGCTGATGGGGATCCAGGTCGCCCTGGGGAAGCAGGCATTCCAGGTGCAAGGGTACGAAAATACCTGTGATGCTTTTTCTTGCGAAGTGTGTCACCATAACCATATTTTGTTAATCTGTTTATGGTTTTGGGTATAGGGCGCTGCATGAATGTGCTGTTGACTGCAAAGTAAAGAACAATATTTATTATTTTGATTGAGAGATTTTTGCCTTGTTGTGTTTCCTTGGTTGGGTTTAAGTTGTCCAGGACTATATTGGAGTGTGCTGACATCAAGTGATACCTCGAACCAATCAGAACTGGGGCTGATTTTCGTCAGCAGCTCCTTATCACAGCCCCAAACACGTAAACCAAACCCTCTTTAGTTGTGTTTGACTGCCAGTAGTGGGCAAGTTAGCTAGCTAGCATTTTAAAAACACCCCTTAACCATGGTAAAAATATTGTTATGCAAAAATTTAATAATAAAAAAAGTTTTTGCAGTGCCTGCTTTACAAAACTAAGCTTTGGAAAGCAGCTTGTTTATAAGACTGCTCTTTCTCTCTCTGCTGTAATGGGATGTCTGAGCTGCTTGGCAGACTGATGAATTCTCATGTTGTTGCCTGTTGTAGGCTTCTTCTTTTTTTTATTGTACTTTTTCAGGGGAGACATTCGAAAGCATGCAATGACAACATACAATTCCATGCATGTGTTAATTTCCAGTTATATATATCCTTTCATACACCTTGTGATCTATATCTCTCCATCTTTTTTTTTCTTTAAAAAAATCTTTTTTTCCCCTTCTTTTTGACATTCTGTGAAAGTAAACAAATAACTATATACATTAAAACCTGAGGAGATGCCTTGGGGTAAAAAATAAAGGGGTCAGATAAGAAGAAAGGGGAGGGGGGGGGGAGGGAGGGAGTACTCACTCACTTTGTATCTCTACAAACCCTGGTTTTACAGACTTTATATAATTAATCCATTTTAACCAGAATTTTACAAATTTTGTCATCTTCAGTCTAATAGAAAAAGTAATTTTTTCCATTAGATATATTTCATTGACCAGGTTTATCCAGTCATCCAGTGTAGGGGGATCAGGAGACAGCCACTTCCTTGTTATAACTTTTTTACTTGCAATTAATAGAATATTCCATAAATATTTGTCTGATCTTGGCACATCAAAACCCAGGACCCCTAGAAAAAGTGTATCAAATTTACAGGGAAATTCTAAACTAAATATATTTTTCAGTACTTTGTGCAACTCCAAAAATGTCCAAAAATGTCTTAATATTGAGCATTCCCAAAATACATGCCAGTGACCGGCTTCATACATGTGAATTAGTACATTTCCACTGAAGTTCACATATCTTAATCCATATTTCACTTGAAATGGTAATACTGCTTTCTTTTTCCCATTTTTGCTTTACATACTCCCGAACTTCCTTCCTTTACTGTTAATCCTTTATACATTTTGGATATGATTCCTTTGTGAGCCTCAGACTGATAAGCTTTGATAAACAAATTTAGTATTTCATCATTAACACTGTTGAGTGTATCATCTTTAATTGTTTTATCAAAATAATGTCCTTATTGAAGATAACAGTAAAAGTCCTGATTTTCAAGGTTATATGTTTCTTTTGGAGACTGAAAATCTCTCAGTCTGCCTCTTTCCATAATATTGCAGTACGCTGTTATACCCTTTGCCAGCCAAATTTTGAACCTACTATCCAGCTTATTTGGTATGAACTCAGAATCATAGGTGCACCATCTAATTACTAAATTGTATTCTTTTACTACTTCAGTCCAAATTTTTTATTGGGTTTTTATCCAAAGATTCTTTATGATGTCTACTTTTTTAACTAAATCACCATTTCCTATTATTGCCTGAATAGGGGGGTTCTTTATCAATGACGATTCTATATCCATCCATCTTGCTTGGTAAGCAGGGTTGCATGTGAGAATTAAGGGTCTTGTCTGAGCTGCAAAGTAGTACTTTTCGAAATTTGGTGAACCCATGCCTCCTCTGTCCTTTGGAAGCTGCAAAGTCCGAAATCTTATTCTTGGCTTCCGTCCCTGCCATATATACCTTGAAATGATTTTATCCCATTCTGAAAAAATTTTTGGAGGGATTTCAATGGGGAGTGCTCGAAATAGAAAAAGGAGATGTGGAAGCACATTCATTTTTATAGATTCAACCCTTGAGTTGAGGCTAAGAAAATCTTAGCAATAGGGGGTCCAAAATTAATCTCTGCCAATTTAGAAAGGTCTTTGGGTAGATTAACTCCTAAATATTTTAATGAATTGTAATCCCACCTAAAATGATATTTTTGTCTAAGATACTTTGGGGGGATTGCCTGTAGGCTTCTAATCACATTACTGTTATCAAGCAAATGCTATGATTTGAACAACTGACCAAATTCCTACTTGCATTATTCACTAACACTGATCACTGCAGGTATCGTAGTCACTCCTCGTTAACATAACTTTTCATTCGTGATTAAAAGACTTCCTTCTGCCAGAAAATAAAACTTAATGCCGTTGTCAGTCACAGTGCAGTTCTGATCATGCAAAGAAATCTTGTTTAGTCTATTTTGTTTTTAAATGTGAGTTTGGTTAATGATTATATCTTTAGGATCATTTGTAGTAAGGTTGCCAGCACCTTTAAATGAATATTCCAACATTTTTTAATCTAGAAAATAGTTGATTACCATGGACAATGATTTCCAGTCCCTGTACTCGAACAGAAACCTGATTGACTTGAAAAACATTTATAATAGAAGCCAGTTGACAGTTTTATGCACTACGTCCTACAGATGCGGCAGGTAGAAATGTGGTTGAAAAATATTGGAGTGTTACTTTAAACATCATGTTTTTTTGCTGTTTCTCAAGGGTCTGACGGGTGTTCCTGGACTCGTAGGACCGGAAGGAAAAATTGGACCTCAGGTAAGTCATTATGTCAAGTTGAATAAACTCATAAATGAACTCATAATGAATTAGTTCAAAAGCTCAGTTATGAATGGAGCAGAAATTGAAAAGAGAAATTGTTGTAAAAATACAATAGAGCATATGACATGCTAATGTAATGACTAGGACTAAGTAGTATTAAGAAATAAATGCATTATAACCTGTATGACTGGAAGATGATGATGTCAAGTGATCCCTCGAACCAGTTTACCCTTGAATAAAGTTAGTCACATTTATAAGTATAGTGCAAACAGCATTAAATAATTCCAGCATGACTTTGATAGTCTAGTTTAGATTAGATAGGGCTGTAATAAGTGCTACTGAAGATTTCAGTGTGTGCTCTGTGAACCGTTTTGTGTAGGGAGCCCCTGGAGATGATGGTCATCCTGGTCCTGCTGGGTCCACTGGTGTCAGAGGGCTAGCGGGGTCCATGGGTCTCCCTGGTCCAAAAGGCTTCAGTGTAATCCACCATCACCTCTACAAAACCTGTTTGATCCTGTAGACTGGTGTATTATATTCAACCCAAGAAACTTATAATAAGTTTATAATAATATGATTGTGATATATACAACTTTGGTATGAGAGTGCAAGTTTTGACTCATCTGTCTGTAGTTATCTTATCTCTATTTCACACTTGAGCATTAGTTAATTGAGATGTATTGTTTGTTTTTGATATGCAGGGTGATCCAGGAAAAGCAGGAGAGGTTGGATCCCCTGGAGTTCCAGGACAGAGAGTGGGTATTAAGTATTGTCATTAATCACAGCATTAGTGACTTTATCTTCAGGAAGAGAATGGAATAGAATGGAAATGACGCTGAAGCTCTATTTTACCCCACTAGGGAGCCAACGGGAAAGATGGAGAGGAAGGGCCTGCTGGAGCTGCTGGACCACCTGTGAGTGTCATGTGTCATAAAATGCTTAGTTTTCCAGTGGACTTACCTGTGCTATGTTCCAGCAGATCTACCTTTGTAATTGTCGGCTGTTTATTTCCAGGGTACACCAGGGAAGAGAGGAGAGCAGGGTCCTCCTGGTCTGACAGGCTTTCAGGTGTGTAAAATAAATCAAAGACAAAATGCCTTCAAATAAAGCTTGTGTGAGAAAAGGTGACACGAACAATAATGTGCTTCCGGAGTGTATCACTGTTGAGATAATCCAAGCTAAACTTTGTTTGAGTGTTAGGGTCAGAGCTCTTGGTGAGTGCATCCATATGTTTTGTAATTACATACACATACTTGTACAGTTTTTCACAATCAGACCAAGAACTGGGTCTTATGTACCTGGTGCTTTAGAAAGCGATACATTTTTACAGTCATTTTGCTGTTCTATTTAAATGTAATTATAAAAATACATAATTAATGGCTTTTAAGTAATAAATTACATTTTCAATCATTATTGTTAGATTGACCGAAATTATAATAATAGAAAAAAGTGATAAGACTGTACACAAAACAATGATGTTTACTCAACAGTGTTGGGGTAGTTACTTAAATAAAATAATCTCTTACAAATGACTTTTCTCGAACAGGATTAGTTTATTCCTTCCTGAGAAAAGTAATCTCAGTACTCATCACTTTACTACATTAAATATTTTATATATTAGTTTACTCTCTAAAACCCAAACACATCTGTACCACCTGAAAAGTACATGGGAAAATCCTGAAGTCATTTTCAGTGATGTATTTAGAAAGAAATTGCCAATCACAGTAAACATCATTTAAAAGGCTTGGCACAATCTCTGCCTTTGAACAAGGCACAGCCAGTTATTCTGATAAAAATGATAAACGACTGATGCTGTTTGAAAGATGAAAATCTAGCCACTAGAAACGATCGAAATCAAATCTTTGAAATAAAATCTTTAAGAATAAAATGTAAAGCTTACAGAGCTGCTTCAGAATGAAAATTGAGTCTGCTCTGTTTGTTTGAAGTTAGGACTCTCTCTTCTTTAGCATGGGGATCTTTGTCCATCAGTTTCATATTATTATAATTAGCATGATTAGAGTAATCAGCAGATCATTCAGATGTTTGCTGAATTTACAGCGCTCCCCACATTTACACTGCACACAATCACAATCAAATTCATGCAGTCAGCTGTTGCAGTTGCAACAACATGCACACAAATTAGTAAGGACAAGCATGATTAATATATTTTTAAAGGAATTTTTTGTTTTAAATGCATCACATGTATTTTTGTAGTCCTGTCAGAGACATATGAGTAATGCAAAGATGTAAATCTTATTAAGTCAGTAACTGTAATGTGGTTACAAGAATTTAACCATAATGAGTTACTTTGTTACAGGGAAAAAGTAATCATACTACTGTAACACTTTACTTTGTACTGCAATAACTGTGGTAACTTGTAAGGGCCAAGTAATTGTTGCATTTCAGTGAATTTTAAAACTGAACTGCTTTTCAGGGTTTACCAGGACCCGCGGGCCCACCTGGAGAGCCAGGAAAACCAGGTGATGAGGTGAGTACTGTTTTTGGTGTATGGTATGGTTTTGCTGGGTACTGTGTTAAGTGTGCAACCATGGCTTTGTTCTCCTTTCAGGGAGTCCACGGTGAAGCAGGTTCTGCTGGTCAGACTGGTCCAAGAGTAAGTTTATGCTAAATATTTAACAATACAACAAACAGAATATTATCCGCTGCATGTGGTATCGTATGACTGATAACTCATTACTGCTCCCATAGGGTGAGCGGGGGACCCCAGGAGAGAGAGGAGAACCAGGGCCACATGGCTTACTTGGGCCAAAGGGAAGTCCAGGAACACCTGGCCCTGATGGACCTAAGGTCAGTCTCTCAGATATCCACTCTTTGTGGTCAAGTATACAATTGACATTATCTGTGCCTCTCTGCCTTCGGTCTGTTCTGTGCTGTGTGTATTGTTCTGACAGGCATCACAGCAGCAGGGACTTTAAAGGCCTAATTGCATTTTTTAAAGCTGTGTAGAAACAACTCCAGACTGGCTCGACAACAATAACGTACACACAACTCCACATTGGATTCACGAAATGAGTGTGATATGAGTGCAGTTGATGAATCAGCCTTGGCTGCATGGAAATAAGCTCTTGCGCACCAGTGCCTTATTTACGCATGATTTGCAAATGACACAGCCCAATACATCATATACACTAGCATTCAAAAGTTTGGAATCATTTGTAGTAATAATAATAATGCTGTTATTTAATTTAATACAGTATACAGTATTACCAAAAAGTTGTTATTGTTTATTTATAGTAATTTCTCGATAAGTTAACTGCCTGAGATTTGATCATCACGTTTCAAATACGAGGTATTCTGGGTGGTAATTTAATTCGAGCTGAGTTCACTGTGTTTTACATCTTTCTCAGTCATTTTGGAATCATCTGCAGTTCTGTTGACATTTCTCCAAAATGGCCTTTGTTGTAAAACGTTTTTTACTACTTAAATTCTCAAGTTATTGAGCATTACGTTTTGACGTGTGATGTCACTCAGCCCCCGTCAGCAGCTAAATGACACAAAAACACTTTGGTCTCTTTTGTTTGTGCTGCATTTGTGCTGTGAAAAGAAATGTTTGTGCTGTTGTATTTATCAAGTTATAGGCTAAATCAGGCATGTCAAACTGGGGACCTTCCAGGCCCACGTGCTGCGGAGATTAGCGTTTACCCTTATCTAACGCTCTGAATTCAGTTCATGAAGGCCTTGTTAATTAGCTGATGAGCTGAATCAGGTGTGGTCAATGAGGTAGTGTGTTGAAGTCTACAGTGTTTTGGCCCGTGAGGACTGGAGCCTGAGACGTGGGCTAAATTTTTTTTTTCTCAATGAATGACGTTAGGCACTGGATACACAGTTGAGAGATGACATCATTTACCACACAATTGACACTGGTTGATGATGAAGATCTGAGAAACATGCTTTTTGCCTCCTGCGAAGCTGGTGTAATTGTTACTTAGCAGACTTGTAAAAACCACAAACTTGACAGATTCGTGCTGGAATAAAATCACGGAGCTTGTCAGTAATCACTCGATTGACAGCATGTCCCCAGGTAATACTAATCCTGCTTGAATAGGGCTTATGATCCAAGTTAATTACATGTTAACAATATTCAAACTGAATTACCTTTATTGAAACACAAGGATTTCTGTGTGTTATAGTTATTAACGAAAGTGATTATAAAGATTTTGATGCTTGAACAAGCAGTTTTTTTAATTGGTAAAATATTATACACAAATTTACACACACCAGCGATCACCTTTTTAGACATTTTAGAGCTTAACTATATAGATACGCCAACAACAAAACTGATGAACAGGAAAAACAGTCAGTGAAATTTGTGTTCATGTTTATTTAATAACCAGATTTACATAACTTTGAGGAATAAGAGCCATTGTTTGTTTTTGTTTTTTTATTTGCCTGTGCTGCATTCTGCATAAGACAGTTTTTGAAGACCCCAAACATGAATGATGGTAAAGGATTGCCTGGCCTGTCCTGTAATTGAGTGTTGATCTGTGCCCTTCAGGGTAGCCCAGGACCAGCAGGGACAATAGGTGAGCCAGGCCCTCCTGGACTACAGGGAATGCCTGGAGAGCGAGGGATCCCAGGACCTGCTGGACCTAAAGGAGAACGTGTATGTGTTGAAAATGAAGTAAAAGATCATTGGATTACAACTTCATGTAATACATAACAAATGTAAGGCCAGAAGCAAATGCTCAGAGAAAAGACAAGTGTCTGTTTATCGTGAGTATGAATAACAGATATGGATAAGGAGAGGGATAAACGTGACAGATTCTATAGATGTTTGAAATAGGTGGTTGAAAGTTTCAAGAGTTTAATTTTCAAGTCCAATGTCTGGGTGTTTCAGGGTACAATAGGTGAAAAGGGAGCTGAGGGAACTGCTGGCAACGATGGTGCTCGAGTGAGTAATATCAATTAATCAATAATCAATATCTATGCAATATTGAATATGCAGAAAAGTGCTCAAACAATGCTAAAACACAGCTTTGTTTTTGCTCTAGGGTCTACCTGGACCCCTTGGACCCCCTGGGCCTGCTGGACCAGCTGGAGAAAAGGCAGCAAGACTATATTTAACCCATAATGCCCTTCTTTATTTAATTACACCTTATAGACTCCCATGTGTTCATATCTTTCCATTTCTGCTTATTGATTTGGCCTTGTCTGGGTTTGATTTCAGGGAGAGGCAGGCCCCAGAGGGCCCCCTGGACCACGAGGTTCCAGAGCATCAGCTGTGAGTGTGCTTTCTAACAGATTATGCATGGCTGATAGAAAAGTATATGATGGTGTTGTGATCTTGTGTTCCACTGATGTGTGTTTCAGGGTTCTCCTGGTGAGCCTGGTCCAACTGGCTCTGCTGGTTTTGCTGGGCCTCCTGTGAGTAAACCATCCATCTTTCCATTCAGAAATTAGCTTTGATGATTTACTAGAACTGTCATTGTATTGGTCGTTTGTTTGGCAGGGTCCTGATGGTCAGCCGGGTGTGAAAGGTGAGACAGGAGAGCCTGGTGCAAAGGGTGATGCGGGGTCTCCAGGCCCTCAGGGAACGGCAGGAAAACCTGGGCCTCAGGTGAGGGCAAACTTTAAGTCCTCTGCAGTGGTATGGTGAGGAAGGTTATCACACTGGTTTATGTGACAATTAAATGTGACAGTCATGCTCAAGTATATGAAACTTGTAATAAAAAGTGTTTATGTTGATGTTGTTTTTCTGTAGGGTGCAGTTGGTGTAGCTGGGCTGAAAGGAGGCAGAGGAACTCAGGGGGCTGCCGTAAGTCTTGCCACAGTTGCTCTTTGGAGGATAAGCTTATAAATTGTAATCGCTCATACTCAGTTTGTACTGTTTCTGCCTGTGTCATCAGGGCCCCAGTGGCTTCCCAGGATCTCCAGGAGGAGTAGGCCCACCAGGCTCTGCTGTGAGTGCTCTCCTAATAGAGCTTTTGATCATAGCCCAAGTTTTCTCAGAAATAACCGATATGAAGAGTTGAACGAGTTTTGACTAAAAGTTTTTTTTATCAATACATTACTAAAATGAAAAAAGCCTAATGTTATTTGGCCTACAACTCAATCCTCCTGCCAGGGTCCTACTGGAGAGCCTGGTCCACAAGGTGCCTCAGGAAAAAAGGGTCCACATGGACTGGTAGGAGATCCAGGGGCTCCTGGACGTCAAGGAGAGCGTGGTAACCCCGGACCTGCTGGAAGCCCTGGAGATAAGGGGGACTCTGGAGAAGACGGACCACCGGTAAATGAAGTAGACAGTTTTCACCTTGGCATGCTCAAGATGGCAGATACTGTTTTTGAGCTTTGTTTGGGGGACCGTTTGCACCTTGAAGCCTTCTAGGACCAAAATTGTGATAACAGTTAGCTACGAATTGTGCAACCCTATGTGTGGCTATCAATGGAATGACTTTCCTTCATTTATGATATGAGTGCCAACAGCAGCAGGATAAATTCTAAAGCATACAGAAACAACTGTTCAGATCCAGCAAAATGCATCAAAAATCTGATCTGATGATTTCTATGGGCTGCAGACTACAGGTCAGGGGCCAAAACAAGAATTAGCACTGTTTAATTACTTGAATGAGTTTAGGTGTGTTAGACATACTAAACTGTAAGGGAACATGAGTTGCTATGTTTGTATGCCATGCAGGAAGCGTGCATTATTTCATTTTAGCATTACCTTTAGCATTGCTCCAGTTCCGTTCACAATTACTGCCAGCAGTTACTCATCTGTTTTGGTTAGAAACCAGCCCCTGCTCAGGTTAATCCCAAATTAGACCCTAGTTTAATTCAGGTTTGCTGAATGCAAATTTAGCACAAAAGTAGACTACACTCAGCTAGGCTTCCAGCTTTCCTTAAAGACAGCCAAAGACAGAGCAGGGCTTGATTTCTAAACTGTCCTTCATGCATCAAATATATGAAAACAGAAGTACTTTTCTCTAGAATTATAGTTTGTTTTCATTCTTTCTACAGCAAACATTATAGTTTTGATTCAGTTTTTGTGATTTTGAAGACTGTCATTTCTATTTTCATTACACTTAATGAGCACATTTGAATAGTTTACTTCCCAAGTGCTGTAAATCCATTTGTAACAGTTTTGGATATAAGTTTTTGAAAAGAGTAACAGCTGGCATATAATGTAAAACACATTTTTATTTCTTGAATAATAGGTGGTATTAATCCTAATATAGCATTGAAACGTCTTTTGTGTAAAAGGCCGACTTCCAACAGCTCATTCCACAAATTCTTGAAAGTGGTCTATAATGCATTTGAAATGATATTTGTTTGCTTCTAGTGTTTGTTTTAGTAATAGTCTTCATTAACAATAATGATCCAATAGTGATTCCCTTTATTTTACTCAGGGTCCTGATGGGCCTTCAGGACCTGCAGGAACTTCAGGGCAGAGAGGGCTGGTGGGTCTACCCGGCTTGAGAGGAGAGCGTGGAATGTTGGGCCTCCCTGGACCTGCTGTAAGTATGAACAATAACAATTATCATTTAACTAAAGCATCACATGAAGTGTAATTATTATATTAGGTATTCTGCGTGTGTGCTTGACTAGCCTAAAGTCATCCTTCCCTTTTGAACCACCACATATGGTGATTAGCCTGATGATTATGATGATGATGAGCATTTGAAGATCATTAGTGCATTTTCAGAGATATGCGTAAATCTCTGAAATGCATGTACAGATCTTTAAAGGGGAATTCCACAGATTTTATTTTCTGTATAGTTCAGTTGTTAAGATGCAAACAAAGTCATTTCAAGTGTTCTAATTTCTGTTTGATTTAGTTTTTAGAGGCATTAAACACTTTCTGTCACTATGACTTTAGTCGGTAAGCTTCTCTGGGATGGAGCATTTTACATCAAACCTGAATGACTTTATTTATATCATTAATCGGTGACAGTTGATCAAAATTATGGATGGGACGGGGATGAAACAGTGAAGTGAGCTGTCTAGCTAAGCTACTGTTTGCATGCACATTTTTTAAATGTTGATTTGTACCATTACTGCTATACTAAGAGAGATAAGATTGCACTTTTTATCAACTACAATTATACAGAGTAAAAATATGTAACATGAATGTCTGTTACAAGCAGTTATAAGACTCAGATGTCTGTGCTGCAAGCTCCAAATATCTGTGCAGGTTTGTATCGTTAGGTGCTAACTTAATACAGTGAATCCCATAAGAGCACTAATCGAAATGACGGTTATTGCAGTGGTGGACATCAGATAAATAAGGGCCTCTTACTTAGCAAAATAAAATGTTTGTGTATTAAATATTTACATTTAACGACAGTCAAAATTTGACTTTATCTGATTCATATTCATACGTGTTCATATTGATGTGTATATATGGAACATTTTACAACAGCGTCAAGCTTGTCTCAGCCAGTCAGATTTTAGAACCAGACCTAACCATCCCAACAAGCATTGACTGCAAACTGCAGTAAGGTGGAGCTGGACATTGCAGGCTTGAAAAAACAATTCTAGGGGTGTTTCACAGCGTAATATGTCACAATGCACTTGACAGAGAATCACAGATAGGCATTGGGCTAAATCAGCCCCGTTTGAGCCAATTCATATTTTTCTTATTTTCCTTTTGGTGGTGCTGTTGGTCTTGGGTCCGCAGATGTCCAAAATAATCTGCTTCTGGGCATCTGTTAACAGCAAGTAAGGGAGAAGGCTTAGCACTACCAGCTCATTTATACAAGCTGCCCCTGTCTTTAAATATGTAGAAGGTTTGAAAAATTGGTGGAATTCCCTTTGAACTCTGTTTATATTGTAGAAGAAAAGTAAAAAATGAAATAAGGGATGCTTCAGGGATGCAGGTTCTACTTTAACAAAAAATAAAAGTCATTGCCTTCTTCATTGCTCTGTGTATATGGACCATTCTGCTGAGTTACCTGAGATACCTCACACTCCTGTCCCACAGTAACAAAACAAAACAAAACCAATTAAATATTCAGACCATAGATATTAGTTAGATATTAGGATTGTGTTATGATCTATATAAACACAATGCATTAATTAAGATAGTAATAAGCTAAACTAAGCTGGTGTACTTTCTATTGGGAGGTGGCTGTCCCAACCCCCAAATTTCAGTTTGTCAAAAAATAAAATGTACATTTTTTACAATATTTTTAAAGATCTTTTAGATTTCTTTTAAAGTTGAAACTCTTAGATTTATCATGAGTTTATTTTTTAAAAAAAAACTTTATTAAAAAAATGCTGTCCCACACACAAAGAGTTTTAGTCGATAGGCGAGCCTTATTTTAGCCACACCCCTGCATTTCAGAGCAGGAAGTAAGGCTGCATCCCTGTCCCTCATGGCCACATGGTGAACAGTTAGATCTCATTGTTTTGAAATAAATGTATTCCAAAGTCTGAATATCAGTGTGTGATATTAAGAATTGTCACTACAGAAACGCATTTTATTATAATTAAGTAAACATTTTTGTGTTCTAATTAAAAATAGTATAATTTTATGTGTGTACAACTGTTCAAAGCTGTGTTTGTTAGCCATGTACTGGCTGCGTTTTTGAGTTTGGCTCAAAGTGAACTAAAACTGTCACTACCGAAACAGTCACTACTGAAACATTTGGTAAAGTTTTGGTAGTGTTAGGACTATTTTAGTAGTGACAAACTGGAATGTCCTGTCTTTTGTTTTAATAAAATAAACATAACTAAGTTATAGGGTCACTCAAAGCTTAAAGATTTTAATCTAAAGTCCAAGTCAGTTAAAAGTCTGAAATATGTCTTGAACTCTGACTTTGAACCATTCAACTAATTGGTAGAATGATCCATATACTTGATCACATGGCACACACCTGTGACTTTTTCTTCAGGGTGCACCTGGAAAGCCGGGTACCAAAGGCCCTCAGGGAGGTAAAGGTGCTGCAGGCCCTGTTGGACCACCTGGGTCAAATGGACCTCGAGGAGATCCTGGCCCAGAGGTTTGGCGCTTACATCTCAGACGGTTTATTCAGTTTTATTCTTAGAAATGGCATACGTCTGTATTTATATTGTGTTTTGCCTTGTTTTGAAAGGGTCTTGCAGGACAAGATGGGCTTCATGGTGCTGATGGTACCATTGGAGTCAGAGTAAGCAAAACAATCATAACTCAGTAAAAATACCTGCTTTTTAAGTGGATATTCTCTCTGTACTGGTGAATAGCCAGACACAAGCATGAATGTAATTTGTTGTATGTTGTAATTTGTTGTTTGTTGTATGAATGTATGTTGTTTGTTCTCAGGGGGACAGGGGAGACCCAGGACCTGAGGGTCTGGCAGGACCACAGGGTTCCCCAGGAACACCAGGACCAGTAGGAACATCTGGAGGTCCAGGATTAAGAGGACAACAGGTACGCCTGATGTGTGCAACATTTGTAATATCCATCTTTCCTTTCCAAAATGTAGATTTTTATTAAACTGTAGAACAGAATACACTGTATATGTATCATATTGTACATTATTATGCTGTTATGATCTAATGGTTATCTTGGTTACAGGGTTCAAGAGGCCCACCTGGACCAGCTGGCCAGCCAGGCATTAGAGGCCAAAAGGTTATATCCATTTACATGCCATCAGAACTTTATTTTATTACTATTTGCATTAAATTTTACTTAGGTTTATGTTTTAAAACAAAGTATGATTGACCTTAGGGACCTCAAGGACCTTTGGGAGATAAAGGTGACAAAGGAGATGCTGGTGAGAGAGGTCAGAAAGGTCACCGTGGCTTCACTGGACTGCAAGGCCTACCAGGAACAACAGTGAGTATAAGACAATTATGCAGTACAGCACTTTTATTCTGTAATCTCAATCATGAAGATAGTAGAGATGAACTCTGCCACCCTTCTCCCCTGAACAAAGGGCGCTACAGGAGATGCAGGTGCGAGAGGAATCACCGGACCAAGTGGACAAAGAGTAAGTGGCAGTTAAGGACTAAATCACACTACTAACTTATTATTAGGCAATAATCAGCTATTTGAGCAGAATTTAGTTTAAAATAAATTATACTACAGTTTGTTCCTGCCTCTCAATGTGATTGGCTCCCAAAAATGGCACTCCGATAGAAGCTCTTGAGGTACCATTCTGCCTTATTCACCTGTAACAAAGCAATGACAACCAACCATTTAAAAAAGAAACTGCCACAACAAAGTAACAGACAGCGAGTATATATCGGTCTGCTGACTTGATAAGGTCAGCACCCCGCTAACTGTTTGCCACTGCTGGTCACCCTCGGACCACCCAGATTACTGTCCTGCATACAAGCTGTAACTCGTTTTTAATCTCCTCGAAATCTCCTTTTAAATGCACCGAGACCTATATTTTGGAAAGTAAACAAATATTACAAACATCTGAGAGAATAAAAATTATGACTAGGCCTACTATAAAATTATTTTATAGAAAATGTTGTTGCTGACACTGTGCTAGATTAAAATTATTTGCTATACTAATATACAAAGTATATTTAAAGAAAGGAAGGAAGGAAAAATAAGTAAATTAGACTGTGAGTGGAAAATGAAGGATGATGAGTGGAATTTTGTCTAATACGCTGCTTAACCACTGGTGGGCCGCCGAGAAAATGCTGAGCAAAACGCCAGCTCTGTCATCAGTGGGCCAACAGTGGTCCGCTATCCTCTTGCTATCAGGGGTAACAGGTTTATTGCAAGTAGCAAGCCTCATGAAAGGAACTTTAATAACATCACGCAAGTGAGCAACATCAACCAAAACTACACAAAAATAGATGAGGAGAAACTAATCTATGAAGTGGAGTAAAGAGAGGATAAGGATATTCATGAGATGAAATGAGACAGTTTATGTGGAGATTGCTGTAGTGCTGTAGATTTCAGGTAGTAATGGCAACTGTTTTTTATTTATTTGCTACCTGTATTGCATTTAAACGTGTTACAGAAATGTTAAGAGTCTTTGCAATAGGATGTGGCACTTAATTCAGCAGCATTTATATGCAACAATGTTTGCTCATAGATTGGAGCCATTTGTAGTAAATAAACTTTCTTGTTCATCTTTTTTATTGTATCAGAATCTTATAATAAATATCAATAATAGATCTGTGATATAATTTAAGTAATATATTACTATTATTATTGTAATATTGTGTAAGTACACTGTAAACTCAGCAGGGTGAAAAAATCCTTAACCCTGTAAAATCCCAGGCTTGTTTTTTAGTAACTGCAGGGAGTTCAGTGCAACCTGGCTGAGCTATTCTTTAACTAAAGAATAGCTCAGCTATAAACACTTTAACCACTTAAATGGCCAGAGTGTTTATTTGAGCTGTATTTTATAAATTGTATGCAGATGCTGTGAGAATGCTGATGACTTTAATTCATACATTAGGGAATTCCAGGGCCTGTTGGACCTCCTGGTAAAGAAGGTAACATGGGTTTCCCTGGAGCAATAGGACCACCTGGACCTCGGGGCATTCCTGGAGACATTGGACCAGAGGTGACACATGCTACGTGAAAAATGCTAGTTCAGTAGACCTACTAAACAAACACTTCATCTGCAAACATGAACATGAAGTAAACATATTTTAATCCCTTGTCTTGTAGATTATTAGAAGCTTTTTGACCAGTTAAGATCACAAAAACTGCATGGACAAAAGGATGGACAAAATTTAGGCATCAACTTGGCTACTACTATTGTTTTTAGTTATACAGCATTCGTCCATTTTTATATATTAACGTTATTTGACATACTGTTATCTATAAAAATGGACAAATGCTGTAAAAGTGCCAGAAAAAAACAAAAGCAAGTCTGTTTGATATTAAATTACAACTTAAAGCAGTTTGAGGAAATTCATATATCAATAATATGATCATTTAGACATGAAGTTTGCATGGTGCTAATTGGTCGTGCATAAGCCTTTTCTTGCTAGCTACATTAGTTTTGTAGCTCCAGTGTAAACTAAAGAAGCAAACTTTAGACACAAAACGTGTTTTGGCTGATTGACTACATTTGGCGTATGTGTGAAACTGTGTGAATTAGTTTTTTTTTGCTCATTTTGAGTTTTATTTCTCTGGACTATTTAGGGTCCTACAGGAGAACCTGGCCCTCCCGGCCCTCCCGGTTCCCCTGGCCCCCCCACTGCTGCCGTAGATGACCTTTTCGGTACGACGCTCGACTACGACGGCGATTCTGAACCTGAGGCCCCACCCCCTCCAGAGTTTAACGAGGACGAGGCAAGGCCTAATAACAGCTCGGCTGTAGTTGAGATGGATAGTGGGTTCCATGCTTCGCTGAAGACTCTTGGAAGCCATCTGGACAACATGCGCAGCCCCGACGGCAGCCGTCAGAACCCGGCACGCACCTGCCAGGACCTGAAGCAGTGTTACCCACTCAAGAAAAGCGGTGAGGAGCAGGCTAAGGAGTGCTATGGAGTGCTTGTTAACCCTTTAAACTGCAGTTATTTATCTTAAGCCTCATTATCACTAACTACTATCAATTATTATAAGTTATATAGTTATAAGAAGTGAGAAGTGAACTGAAGCCTGGATCTGCGAGGCTGATTCACAGTCCAGAGAGTTCCACAGAAAATTACAGATATTTTTTTGTGAAGGCTAATAGCATAGAAAAGGATGTACTGTAACAAGTTAATAAAAGTAAAACTTGTGTAACCCAGCCTCTCAGGGGTTACTCGCCTTTATACGTAGCAGTTGAGCAATTCTGGAAAAAATACTTTCTTTTCTGTGTTTCTTTTGCTTGCTGGTTCTCATTGCTGATTAACCAAATTTCCACATAAAAAATGGACTCATTATAAATCTCTGAGAACACTTACACAAAAGACTCCTTGAGAATGTCTGTAATTTACTATATCTTGTGTGGCGAAGGTGCAGACTTTAGCATTCCACCACCTGATTCAACTCATCAGTTAATTACTAAGGTTGTCATGAGCAGTGCGGGCCTCCAAGGCCTTACTTCAACACTGTGGACTTAAACAGGAAGTCCACCATTTTTCCAAAATTTTAGCATAATTCATGGTTGTGATGTGAATAAAGTAAACTGATTCAATAAAAATAAACAGATTAACTAGTTGTTTTATATCATAAAACAATGTCTCAGGCATCAGGCAGTGTATTCATAACAATTTCATGTACTCAAATTCAAATTCATGAACATTCTGTGATGGAGCGTTTAGAGGCATTAAACTTTTCAAACGTCTGGTTCCTATCACCACCACTGTGAACAATTCTAACTTGTCAAGTTTCTCTAGAACGGAACTCTGAATGGCTTAGTTCAAATCTTTACCATGGAATTATGTGGTAGAGATCCCCTTTAAGAGTAATCACCATAAACACTTGGCTTATTATGGCTTATTATTCAGTAACTACTGTGAATGGTGATGAACCAAAATGAAAATTCTTGGCCGAAACTAAACTTTAGGACCATTTTTATATTTGCCTTTTTGTGTATGCTTCTCAATGACATAAAAATAACTATAACATACAAAAACACTGACTGTTGACAAAATTTGTCCTTTCAATATGACAAAATTTATGTGATAAAAAAAAACAACATACATTAGATATTATAAAATTCCTACAATATGTAGAGTATGTGCCTTGGAAAAACATTGTTCTCAACAACAGAGATCGGTTGTTCATTGGAATTTCTTTATCCTTTAGGTTACGTTATGTAAATTTTTCTATCATGTCAAAAACTGTGGGATAATTTTTGTTAGCATTCAAATTATTTGCTAAGTGTTAGATTTTGACACCAGTTGTATTTAATTGTTAGTTTTTGTTGTTTGTTTTTTTCAAGAAAAAAGTACCATTTTTGAGCATTTTTGTCCACGTTATTTTCGGTTGCTGAAGTTTTGGTGCATCTCTAATTCTAAATAATTCAGTAACTACTGTGATACTCAATATGTAAGTTAGGAGCGTGTGAAATGCAGTGCAGTCCAGTTTTGGAGCTGGCAGCAGGTCCTTACAGCGTACTGGGTTTTAGACGGAAACACTTTAAAGCAAATCTGTATTTAGTATGTAAGTGTAAATGCACACCTGTGGCTCTGAATTTATAGCATAAGCATGAATGAACTCTAACTCTTCGTCTGCATGTGTTACAGGTGAGTACTGGGTGGACCCTAACGAGGGCAGCGCAAAGGATGCCATCCAAGTTTACTGTAACATGAAGTCCGGCGAGACGTGCATCTCCGCCACCCCGTCCAGCATCCCCCGCAAGAACTGGTGGGGTTCACGCTCTAGCATGCCTAAACCTGTGTGGTATGGAGCCACTATGAACAGAGGGATGAAGGTCAGTGCACATTGGCCTAAAATGCTTATAAAATACAATCAAAAATTAAACGTGCATGTGCTGTAATTCATCCCAGTTTGTTTTGTATTGACTTATCTGACTCCTGTAATTAGGGGTGGCCAATATGGCAAAAATATTACACCACTATACTTTGACATTTTCATGAAACACTGTATGCATCATGATATTTTGTTTTTCAGATTTAATAAGCTGGAACAGCCAATATAAATCCTGGAGTGATACATTTAACAAATACTACAATCATAGTAATAATAATAACAAACCTACAACTACAATGATTTTTATTCAGTGTTTCACAAACTGCAGTGCACTAAATCCAATTAAACAGGCCAAATTATGCTCACTTTGTAATGAAACATGTATTAAGTCAGTATTCTTTGTGTACTGACGATATCCACAGTATACTCAGAAAAGTGTATTGTGACAATTTATCTTGATAATGATAAAATATTGTCATATTGCCCACCCCTACAATCAGTGATCATTTTAATTCACCTGCCTCAGTTGAGATAGATTATACTACTCATTCTTTTTCACAGTTCTCTTAATATCTTGTAATATCTCTCTTGGCTTATCATGACACATTGTCTTCCTCAGTTTACCTACGGCAGCAAAGAGGCTTTACCCAACACGGTGTCTATTCAGCTGAGGTTCCTGCGTCTCCACTCTAAAGAAGCAGTTCAGACTCTCACTTACCACTGCAAGAACAGTGTGGCCTACAAGGATGAGAAGAACAGCAACTTGAAGAAAGCTGCTGTATTAAAGTCTGCAGACGGGCTGGAAATCAAAGCGCATGGCAGCAACCAGCTCAAGTACACGGTCACTGAGGACAGCTGCTCGGTACGGGACAAAGTTTGACTCAAACATTGTTACTGAAGTTGTACAGAACAATATGGCACATTTTGACACATGAACACTGTTACTTTACATGTCATGTTGCTAATACACCGTTACTGTTGTGTATTGTTTACTTGACACAGCTGATTTTTGCTTTAAAAATCTATTAATAAGTTCAGTGTGCCACAATTAACCCTTAGAATTTGACATATTATTGTGCTTTGATATACTATTTAAATGTAATCACAGTTATACTTTATTACATAGTTACATTATGAATTACATTTACAGTTGAACTACATTGTGTATCAACCAGTTGGAGTCGGCACTTTCCTACTGTTTGATTCAATGTCAAACAGTGACAAAGACTGCACACGCTAAATGAACTTGTCATCAGATTCAAATCGTCATATCTCCTCTTTTATTGACAAAAATACAAACGTTGCGTTGATTAAAAGTTTAGAATTCATAATTCCGACAGAATTTCTGGGAAGACTTTAACTGAACCCTGCTTTATAACACTGACACAACTAAGCTGTAAACTTGTCATGACAGAAGTCATATACTGTTATAAGTTGTCATCACAGATTTTGTTCTCTAATGTAACTGCCATGTTACCATTTTCGTTAAGGACAGATGTCATAACGGTTAAAGAGAGCAGGATTTCTCAACCGTTGGGGTGGTGGACCCCAAGTGGGCTGGGAGGCACACTTTGGTGGTCCTTGGGCCAATACTGAAGGAGGTGCAAGTGGTCTGCACTGCGGGTGCTGAAAAAAATAATTGACTTAACAATTCAAAAGAAATATAGAAGGTTTTCAAATGGCAAACAGTATTAATATAAGCCTTGAAATAACGGCTCACAAAGGCAGCTTCATCGATTTTTCGCCCCGTGCCTCTATAAACAAAATACTGATTTCTGGTATAAAACAAGTTTACATTCACCTAATCTGTTGAAATGTTATGTTCACTGATACTTGAGTACATTTAGCAAAAATTAGAGCATGACAAAGAAAATTTAATGACAGCTGACAGCATATGACATGTTTATGGTGTGGTTATGTCAGAGTTAGGCTGTTCAAGTAAAGTGTAACCAAATTTCTCTAATTACAACATGCTTTCATTGTTGACGTGACCTCTAAGGGCTGAGCAGCGGTACGAAATTCATTTGATGTTCATGACATCATACAAACCCTAATTGAGCCACTTTGCAAATCTAGGGCTGCACATATATCTGATCACAGGTACTGTATGTGGGGCATCCACCTCCACAACTTGGTCTCATTCTGTTTTCTCTGTGTTTGTGTCTTTTAGAAATCCAACGGTGAGTGGGGTAAGACTGTATTTGAGTACCGCACGCAGAAACCGTCCAGACTCCCCATAGTGGACATCGCTCCAGTGGACGTGGGCGGCGCAGATCAGGAGTTTGGCATCGACATCGGCCCAGTATGCTTCTCATGAAGCCTGTAAAGAAACGGCTCTGTGAACCTGCCGCTACCCTGCGGATTCTGTACAGCAAGCTAAAAAGAACCAGCGCTAGGACTTCAGCTCTATAACACAGTATTTATTATGGAAGACAGTTCAGAAGTGCCTTGACCAGCATGTTGAGCCGCAACAGTATTTTTCCCCCCTTTTCTTCTTTATTAAGGAATTCCACTAGCTTGGGGTCTATGAACATATGAGAGACTGTGTGGACTTTAATTTATGTCTTGATCATTACCCATATGCCCCTTGCACTGCTGTGTAATAGCAATAAAATAAGTATCATTTTGAATTGAAGACGTACAGATGGGTGATGGGTAACGTTTTCATGTCAGGGCAGTAGTTACTCCCTGTTTTGATGTTAGATGTTTTGATGTTGCTTTTATCATGTTGAACAAATTCCAGTGTTAGTTGAGGTGCTACATAAAGGTGCTACATAGACTAATATATGGATAAAAGTGAATGCAAACGATTTTTATTGCGTTCCTATGCAGATTTATTGACTCCCAAGTGACTCCCCCAACCCTCGTCTGTGACCCACTCTTTTTTTGCTGAATTGAAAAACAGAACTGCAAATTTGGACCATTGTGTACACGTTATATGTGCTACCTCTGAAAGATGGCGTGTCGATAAAGGGTCATTTGACCGACCTTTAATTTACAACTGAACATTAATAGGGTTTTTTTACTATCACTTACTGACCATACAGTGTCTCATTAAAGAATGATTGTATTAAATTGTGATATAATCTTTCATATATGCATGCTTATCATGACGTCTTGAGTTTTTTTTTCCCAGAGTATCTTGATGACAGCAGGGCGCAGAGTGCTGCTGTAACAAAAATTAAATCATAATTAAAAAGAACTTTAATGAACTTTTCATGCCAGCTCAAGCACTAAGTTATAATTTAAAAAAACAACATTTTGTTGCAAAGTGAATGATTTTAGGTAAAGAGAACCAGGCAGAGACAAAATGTTCACTGAGTTTTCCTTTATTTACCAAACGCAATACTGAGCACATCATAAAGTAAATACTGGCTATTTTGCATAAATACAGTATTCACACAAATGTTGATGATAATGGTGGATTAGTTTGTGTATTTGAGAGTCAACTGTAGAAAATGCAAACATTCCTGTGGAAAAGACAAAGGAAAATCCATCTATCCATCTAAAGCAAACTTCGGCTATTGATCAGTGTCTGATAACCACTACTGATGAACATGTATTGACATGGTGGATGTATGTTAACAGTATGTTCAATGAGACAAATTCTAAAAACACAGTTTATGACTCTCCTTTCAGCACTTCCTCAGTCATAAAATACAGATAATCAATCAGTGATCTTCAGTAAAACTGTCAAATCTCTATAGACTGATTTTGTACAATATAAAAATAGAAACAACCTGTACAGCCTATTCCACAGCTTTAAGTTTCACTTCTCACTCAATGCAAAATGTAAATAGAAATACTGCTCTCACACTGTTTAGAGTTTAGAAACCCACAGAAACGGTCTTTGACATCAGCATCGACTGTCCACTTGATCCAGGGAAAAAACAGTGCCCTCCAAAGTCAGACCCATTTTGAACCCCTCCTAATAGAAAACAACAGATTGAAAAGGCTGTTTTAACAGTATTGTAACGACATGGGACTAATAACATGGAAAAATGTGAAAAACGTGTCTTTTGGTGTAGAAACACAGGATATAAATTAAAATCCATCCATCTTGATCAAGTCAGTTATATCAATGGCAGATTAACAGTGTTGAAATGGTCTTATTTGTTCCATAGAGGTCAACTCTGCCCATTAGCCCTGTTCACACCTTATATTAACATGCGTCTTAAGTAATCTGTTTACAAATGGACAGCAAGATTTATAGCCGCTAACATCTGGCATTCCTGTTGGGTCTCAAGCACTTAGTAGGAAGTGAACTGCACATATTGGACACTTGCTGCATTTGTTGTCAAACAAAAATGTTTTTTGTTTACATGTTTGGGCTTTAAGAAATTACAAACAAACAGGAAAGGAGACAAAGAAAGGAGCTACACAAAGCAGCTGCTTTAGTCTCGCTGTGATGATGCAGTTGATTAGGCAGCCCTTCAGTGCTGTTGAGGACACAGCGAGATGCATTAGTATTAACACTATAAATGTTATGTGGTCATACACATCCCTCACCACCTATAAAGGTCTGAGTGATCCGATCACAATGCGACTCCATACCTGTCATTAGCGCTGTCCACTTATTAATTGAATCACCCAGGATGCATGTTAATGCCAAGTGTGAACAAAGTCATTGTTTAGTTCACTGATACAACTGCAACAACCTCATCTACAATTAAACCAAATTCTGCTAAATTTCCACATGTAATCTAAATTTCATGGTTGCTGAATGGAATCTTTGGCCACATTCAGAAGGACATCAAGGACATTTTGGTATATATCAAAAAGAAAAAAGCATGGCTGGGTGTTTTAAGCATGTTTGCATATGGAGGAGGAAACTCATTCAAACATAAATTCTCATCAGCAAAAACTCTTGCCGTTCTTCTTAGAAGGAAGCGGACTGTACAGCTCTGAAAGTGATCTGACAGCAGTGATTAGTTTCTTCTCAATCTTGCTCGAGTCTCTTACTCTGATTTCTTTCGGACTTCTCAGTCTGCGCATGTGCAAAAACAGTACTGGATATAAACGAGCAGCGCTGCCATGAGATGGCAGCAAAACACTTTTGGAGCGACGCTGAAACCAACTACATGCTTGACAAAATTAAGGATTTAAATTTTCTGCATCTTGTTTCATGTAAAGTGGAGCGATGTTTTTTTTTTTTAAGCTGCAGCACGAAGTTTGAATTTACATTACGTTTATGTAACGTCGTCTTCTGTGAGTTTATTGGCTGTCTGCAAAGCAGAAATCCGATTACTTCCTGACTCATGTAGACCCGGAGTTTCCCATTATCTGATTACTCAAGTGCATGCAAATGCGTTGATTGGATTACTAACAAAATCTGATTTTCTGCAGTTATCGGATTATTAAGTGCATGTAAACTCACCCACTGTTAACGAAGAGTGGAGGTGTGTTTATAATGGATATCAAAATGTTCTTCTGAGTGTGGCCTTATGCTGCATCTAACGTGGAAGTGGGAAGCTTGGAATTTCATAATTTTCAGTCCTGGTGAGATTTGTTAGTAGGAAGTGAGCCAACTAACGTTAGTGATATGAGCGATAACTTTAATGTATTTGCCCTTTCAAAACAGAGAGCTTTATGGTCAGTGCTGCAGATTTAACCGACTACTGTGTCTGTTTGACCAATTTAAAGCAAATCACATTTAAAAGCACAGAAGTGGTACTTTAGTATTTATTATTGGTGGTGAGCATCTATACCAACATCATAAGATGAACTAAGATTCGAGAACACCATCCCAACTAAGAATTCCCAGCTAAGGGAATGTTTTTGATTTTTCCTAGTCTGAAGTCAGAAATTCTAAATTACATGCACAACTTTGATTGAACGTAGCATTTGCTGATCACTGCTCTCACTTACAGTCCCAGCAAAGCATTTTTGATCATGTTAAATGCTTTGACACATCATGCACTGAGACAACCAGATGAGCCACAGTTCATTAAGCACTGAATGAAGGAGTGATACTGCATGTCAAATCCATGCAAAGCATCACACTGTGTGAATCAGGTTGACATTTACAAGATGTCTGTACATTAGAACATGAAAACATCTCACTGGAACAGAAAAAAGGATGTAACATGTGTGATGAGGGAAAATTTTAGTTTACAAACCATCTTTGCCGCTGTAGAGGAGCAGGAAAAGGAGGAAAAAGAGACAGAAAGAGCAAAGTAATGTAATTATTTATTTCTGAATTTCCCAAAACTGCTTATAAATGCCACTTTTTTTGGAAGATAACAGGTTTTAGCCTGGCTTTAGTGGTCTGAGAGGCACAACTTCTCTAAATTTCATTAATAATTCTGTATTAGGGGAGATTAAGATGTGAATTAAAACTGGAGTAGGACACATCAGGGCAAATCCAGCCAAGCCAATGCTGCCTGTGCGGTCCCTTTGATCTATTAATACCAGCTGTCAATCTCCTCCTCTGTTGACAAATATTTGAAGTCTGTTCGTGATTAACGCAATTGGCATTAATTCTCTCTCGCCTAAATTTGGAATTCTGTCATAATCCCACTTCAAAGTGTGAAGGGCTGCATATTTTAAAAATCCAACAAAATACACACTTTGCACCACAGATTTAGCTGAAACAGTCGACTCAGCTGACAGAAAGTGGTAAGAGGCAACATTCTCGGCTTGTAACAGTTTGAAAATTAAGATTCTGTGCGCGACCATCACTAATACTCTTCCACAGCTGAACAGACAGTGAATGCAGACAGACAGCTCGACTGTGTTCCAGTGTTCTCTGCTTAATAGCTAATTAACCATGTCTGAACAGTTAAATGAAAGTCAGAATGCAAGTCAGACTGAGCAGTAATCTAATGAGCCCACCTGCATCTCATCCAGCTTGGACTGGATATCTGGGGTATAGTCAGCAGGGCCACAGATGAAGGGGTCAAAGGGCACAGCTCCAAACAGATCTATACCTGCAAAAAAGACAAACCAGGTCTGAGAACTGCAGGGTTACATGACAGATGGACAGTCACCCTTATTACAGTGTGCAAATGTAGCTTTTCCTTGTGATTAGTGGTTTGTTTTGGGGGGGTTTCTTCCTTCAGTCCCCTCTTCAGGAGGTGAAATGCATGCTCAGTTGGGTTAAGCTCTGGTGACGGACTTAGCCAGTCTAAAACCTTCCACTTTTTCCCCTGATGAAGACCTTTGTTGTGTTGAGTGTTTAGGGTCATTGTCTTGTTCCTCCTGAATAGATTGGATGCATTTCTCTGTAAACTGTTTGCATCTTACAGCCTCTATATGTCTGCACTCAAAGTCTTCTTCAAACGCTGGATTAAGATACCTTCACCTGCGCTCTGTGGAGGTTGTTGTTGTTGTTGTTATCACTGACTGTTGTTTTGGGGTTTTTCTTCACAGCTCTCACAGCTCACAGTGTTTCTGTCATCAGCTGCTGTTGTTTTCCTTGGCTGACCTGTTAGTGCACTATTGGTTTCTCTCTTTCTCAGGACATCCCAAACTGTTGTAATGGCTATGCTCAATGCTTGTGCAATGCCTCTGCTTGATTTCATCTCTTTTCTCACTTTCAAAGTGGCTTGCTTTTCATCTTCATGTTTATCCTATATTTATCCTATAACAAATGCAGTCTTCACAGGTGAAACTCAGGGCTCAAACCAAGAGTAGATGTTCAGAGCTGTTAACTGTTTAAACAATCATCTATCATTCTGACAGAGCACATCTCGGCAACAGGAAAAGTTACACGTTCCCAGATATTTTACTCAGTTGAAGATGAATGGGTTCAAACAAAAGGTGCCATGTTTTAAATTGTTTAACAGATCTAGATGAAAATGTCAGGAAATAACAGCTGAATTTTTGATCTATCGTCTCAAATTTTGATAATAAACCCACGTCTTCAGACTATAGAAAAAACAATGGCGTTCGCCCTGCTGTTTCAGTACTTTCGGAGGAGACTGTAGTT